TCAGCCAAATAAAATACACATTACCTTTAATCTTCTTGGTACACCAGTTGGTGCATTAATCCCAGAGCATGAGATTAATATTTTATTAACTTTCCATTTAGCAGTTTGACAAGGCTGAGGTTTTGTGGATATACTGCAGGGGTTTGTGGATTATGCTGCAGGGATTTGTAAAATCCAAACTTGGACCCTAAATATTTCTGAAGCGAGAAAATGTTAAACCATTTTGTAAAAATGTAAAGGCCTGAACATGTTTATGAGAATTGGCCTGGTAGATTTGAAACTTATTAAACTCAATTAAACCTGAACATTCACAATCTGCTCTGCATCTACATCTATGTGCTGTTAAAACAGTATCTGTGTTGAATCAAAGGTCACAGTGCAGAAGATAGTGAGAGAATAAATAGTCAGCACATTACTGATTCAAACCAATAAGTAGCAGGCAGCTTTTAAGTATAAAATCAAATCAACATTTATAATGACATCAAAACTTCCTACCCCATTTTCAGGTCCCACATGAAGACCATCTTATTTGACCGTGTCTATGGTCACTTCCCCTCCCCCTGGCTCAGCATCGTGCTCCACCATTGTCAAGTGCTCTGGGACGCCACCCTGCGTGAGGAGCACTATATAAATGCAAGTTGTTGTTTAAAGGAACTCTGATTTTTATGTTGGTATTGTTGGCAGAATCCCTAATTTTGGGGATAATCTGACAAGCAAAGATACAGAGGAAACTATTGATTCTTTTTTCTGATTATCATCAGATATCAATATGGAAGCATTAATGTACCGAATGCCCCTTTCTCACCCTAATTGTTCTTCATTTATTGTTTGGCCAACACATTACAGTAATGGTAGTATTTTTTCATTTACAACGTGGTTCAGTTACAAAATTCGGTTTTCAGAATCCATTGTTTATGATAACAACTGAATCACATCCAGTTCCAAGCCAAGAACAATAGTTACACAAAATTAAGTTGGACCGTAAAACAACTTTTATTCTCTCTCTCCAGTAAAGCGGAACATTGATGTAGATTTAGGAATCGTGGATCACTCTTTGATCCCAACAGTTTAGCCCAGCATAGTTTAGGACGGGGTAAAAGGCACATTTTCCTCTCTCAATGGATGCTGCCTAACCTGCTGCGTGTTCCCAGCGACTTCTGTGTCCAGATTTCCAGCATCTGCAGTACTTTGCTTTTGTTAAAAGTCTCAGAAGTTCAGTTTATGAAACAGACAGCTGTTGAAATTAATAGACAGGAATTACTTCGACAAAAATGACAACAGGTTAGTGTCCAATTACTCCTCATAGGTATAGCTGCATTCGTTGGTTGGAGTTGAATACCGATTCTTTCACCAATTACAGTTCTTAGAGCAAACCTCTCACGATGAATGGTCTTTCTTTGTTCCTAGGCACCTTGCTTCCATAGGAACAGGAGTGGGCCATTCAGTCCCTCGAGGTTGTTCCATCACTCTATTAGATCATGGCTGATCTGTATCTCAACCCCAAATACCTGCCTTTGTCCCATATCCCTTGATATCCTTACTTAATAAAAATCTATCTACCTCAGTCTTGAACATTTTCCAGGAAATTACCTCCCTTGCGTCACAGCCTGTCTCCTCTTAATCCAACTCCCCTAGACGACAATATTAGTTATCCAGAACATATTTTCAAACAAAACCTGCTAAACAAAATTCCTGGGATACACTAAAAGTTGATTTATTCTGGCTATGGCTTACTCTACTGAAAGATAAAAAATTATTGTGGAAATCTGCATGCAAAAGTTGCAGTCAGGAAGCCTAGGTTACCCGGATGAAGCTTCCTCTAACACCTGAAACCTAATAAGCAGAACCCACTGTGTCTCTGCTAGTTTTATGGCACTATTCGAAAAGAGTATCTCCCGGGTTCTGGCCAACAATGTCCCAAGTCAAATTGGCCATTTGTTTCACGGCTGTTTGTGGGACATTTCTGTGCGCAATTGTCTGCCGGCATTACACCCACAAAATACATAGTCACTCTTTCACAGTAAATCCTGTGAAGCATTTCGAGATGTCCTTCAGGTGTGATAAGGCACTATACCAAATGCAAGAAATATTATTATTATTAACATGATAAAATCTGTCTGGTGATTATAAATGAAGATTGTGAGGCTGTAGAACAATGAAATAGTTTTTATGTCCTAATTCCACTTGAGATTTTCCATATTTTTGTTGACTGACTGAATAATATTTAATCTAACACCTAGTCTTTGGCACTAAGCTTTATGCACTCTTCAGATGGGAGCCACGAAAAAAGCTGGGCACTGGAGTCTGTCAATCTTGGCAACTGTTCACTCTTTAGATCCAATTTGTTGTAGATTTCAGCATTGTTTTTGCTTACTCTAGTACTTGGTGTACTGTTGCTCACTCACCTGTGATTTCAGGATTAATGTGTCGTTATCCCTATTTGCTTTATGCACTTTTCAGATGGGAGCCAGGGAAGGAAATGGGCACCTTGAGTCCCTGAATCTTGGTAATCATGGCATCTTGTTCACTCTTCAGGTACATTTTGTTGTAGATTTCAGCATAGCTTAGAGGAATTTTCAAAAGCATTAGAAGTAAGCAGCTGTGGTTATATGCCCTGCTACTGATGCTTCGTGAGGAAAGCTGTGCTCTGTGGTTGTATACATAAATGTCTATAGAGCTCTGTCTATGAACTGCTGATAACATTACTGAGGTTAGAGAGGAGCTAAATGGAATAATCAATTAATTTTGATTAAATAATTTAAAGATATCCAAAGAACTGGTAGCTCTCCATTTGACAAGCACTTTAATAGATATGCTCGGTACATGCATACTGTTTTTATGAAAACAACTCTGATTTTTTATGTAGATATAACTTAGTACTTATGAATAGAATTAAAACAAAATTGCAACAAACAAATGCCAAAATCATATGAATTGGCAATGCTGTACTAAATGTTATAGGGACATGGTCAATGACTAGTCTTAGAGTGCAAGATTATACACAGTCTTGCATACCCCCTTTTAAAACAAATACCACTTTAACCATTGAGTAGGTTATTATAAAGGAAATGTTCCCAGGAGGTCAGTAAATTTGGGATCATGGTTTCTGTACATCATTGGAGACAAAAATGGAATAAGAATAATCCCTGCATTTGATATAGTACCTTATGATGTTGCCGAGACATCCCAAAGCACTTCACAGGATTTACTAAAAAGTGGAATGACTGTGTATTTTGTGGGCAAAGAATGATTTAGGAAGAGTCAGCCATATTGTTTGTCCTACAAAAAGAGACCTGCAGTTAGTTCATTCAAAAGAATTTTCTTTGTAGATTCTATTCCACAAAATTAACATCTCAAAGTGGGCATAAAACCTTTTAAAAAAAATTGAGTAAATAGATTAAAGCGCCCCTTAGCCACATTTAAAAGGAATGGTTAGGATTTGGGTTAATTGAATACTATACAAGTATGTGGCTAAACAGACTTGCTGAAAGGCAAACACTAACAAAATGAAGTATTAACATTAGACGCATTAAAAGATTTTTTAAAAAAGATTCTTGCACTATTTGTCCATCAGCAAATTGTTAACGCCGCACAATTCTTTTTGCCATGATTTATGCTCCAATCCCAACAAAAGGTTGATGCACAAAATTGGAAAACACTCTTGCTTTACAAAACTTTGATAAACTAGCTCCATAATCTACCAGAAATGACCCATTAGAAGTGCTCAATTCAAATTCATATCGGCTCCTTTAAGCAATGCTCAATCTGATCCTAACTACAATGCTACAAAGCAACAAAACAAATACAAATAGTTATACTTTGGAAGAAAAATACAGCACATTGAAAAGAATATAGAAATCTGAATTTGATGCAGCCTTATTCAAGCCTCAAATTGGCTCAGGCAGTCAACTCTCACCTTAGTCAAAGGTTGTGGGTTCAAGCCCTTCGTCAAGACTTTGTATTGGAGTATCAGCCTAGATTGTGAATTCAATGTTGGGGAATCACTGCATTGTCAGAGGTGAGTACCATCCTTCAGATGAAATGTTAAACCAAGCAAGCTCCCGTTCAGTCACAAGTTAAAGATTCCATGACAATATTTGAAGGTAGAAAATAATTTTTCCTTGTGGCCTGGTCAACAATTCCCCAGCTAAAATTGGTCAATCCTTCAAAGCACATCTCATGACTCGCCTCTTCGACTGCACCTTCAGTCATCTTCCTATCCCCACCCTCCACCCCTCCTGATCCCAAATCCCCTGCTCGGGTCCAAATCCCTGATTGTCCAGCACCTTGGGACCTCCTCCCAGATAAAGGGTACTATATAGATGCAATTTGTTATTGTTATCATTCGCTGTGTGGCTGATTGTAGAACATTGCTGTGCTCATCTTGGTTGCTGCACTTGCCTGCAAAATAAGGGACGGCACTTTACAGGAAATCCTGCAAAGCTCTTTGAGATGTCCCCCTGACGTGAAAGGTATTTTCTCAAATGTAATGATTATTATTATTGGATAGAAGTCCGCGGATATCTAAACAAAATGCAGGAAAATGCACCAGGACTAAACACAGGCAATAAGAGTTGTTTTAGGGAAAGAGGAACAATCCATTGTACATTTATTGAACTTAACTTTTAAAATAAATCCACACAAAAATGTGTAGGTGAAGTTCAATTCCCTCATGTTTTAAAAAAACATTGTAACTTGAAGCTTCAATTTAACAGTAGTAAGCAAACAAACAACAGGATCAGTCATTTTTATTTTGGGCGGGCAGGTGGGAAGAGCCCGGAAGTAGTAGTGCAATACTAGATTGTTTCCATGTCCTTCCCCACTAATAACAGGGCAAGTTAGGAATTACAGAGATATGCTCTGTGGATATGTCTGTGGTAGGGTGATCCAAAAAGCGCAGGATGTTGATACCTTGTGCTGATGCTGGAGCGATCCAGAAGAATTTCAAAAGTACAAACAGCATGTACCCGAAGTTTTAAAAAAAGTACAACTACAAAATGGAAATTGGAAACATTTATTTTAAAATGTTGATTTCATCACATTCCAGTATTGGATTAGAATGCAATTGTACAGTCCCACATATTTTCAGCAAAATGACTTCTAAAACAGCTTAAATGGACTAAGTACCAATAATATACATTTCCCAACAATTTATAGCAATATCCTCAATTCGGTCAGCAGCTATTTCTACATGTTGCAGCTTCTCTTTCAAATTTAAAAAGGTTTAATGCTGATGGTGTAGCCACTAGTCCTACACAATAAATGACAGAGCAGATACTGCTCTTATTCAGCAATCCTATTTCTTACACATAAAACATGTAATACAAACAGGATTAAAAGAAAGCAGTAAAATGGCTAGATATAACATGCAAAGCTTGGGACAGAATTATAGCGAAAGATGAATTTACATAAAATGCAGAGAAATACAGGCAGTAGGATTAAAAACCTGTTACACAACCAATCATAGAACATCTAAACTAAGATATAGTGCAATAACATTACACAAGCAAAAGCCTCTCAATCTGTTGCCATTGTGGAAACTGTAACCCCAGAAAAAGGCTACATATGTGATATCATGTTTTTGCAAATTTCCAAAGTACAATTTAACTCCACGTGGTAGATGTGTGGCTACTGATGAAATGTCAATTTATTCCACAAAAAAAGAATTTTAACCTACACATGCCTCCAGCATTGGCAAGTTATTGGGTTTTCTTACTTAACATGATTAAGTTAATCTCATCAAAGTATCCTTTATAAATTAGACAACTGAGAGTAGCAATTACTAACTATTGAGAACCAGTCTCAAAAAGCACATTGCAATTATCGGAATTATTACTTTTAAATAAAGATTAGAAACATCAGTTACAGAGAAGTAACATTAACTAATGTGGTGCAGATTGATGCCCGTTCAATCATACAGTAAATTTTATTAAGTTATTTTTAAAGAAAGCAAGAACATATTCAGAGGAGCATCACATTATTTCACCGTATCTTCAAATCTGTGACAAAATATTGCTTTCACAAAGACTATTTTGCGGTGACCTGATAAATTCTTTGATCTATAAACTCACATCAAGAAAGATAGATTTTTTAAGTTGGTCTTTTGGTTGGTATGTTTGTCAAATGCCCACAGTCTATTTTTATGTGTTCAAAGAAAGGTCATCCTTACAAAAATGTACTACATGCCAGAATCCCTGCAAAAGCAATGAACTACAGGAATAGATTCACGTTTCAAATGAAACTGTTACATTTGAAACCAGGAGCAGGTCATGAAATACCACAAATAAACACACACAATCTCCCAAATTGTTCATAAATACTTAAATCATTAACATAATTCACAAGGCAGTACAACCCAGAAGAAAACTCCGATCGGTCCATATTTATACAGAAATTACTTTTCCAAAAATCAATACATAAAACCAGTGAGTTTTGGCTATCTCGCACAATGTTTAAAATATATACACATTATACACATTAATAGGATTTTTACTTTCCCTTTAGAAAAGAGCCTATACCCAGAACAATAGTAGCTTATTACTGAAAACAAACTATTTTAATATGAAAATTAAGAAAAGTTAAGTTTTATTAAATGGCTCCTTTCCAGTAGTAGAATAAAGTTTAGTCAGCAGCTTTAAAATACAAATTATCCTTGTAGATGGTGTGGTCCCTTTTGTACATTTCAGTGAGCATCTGTCATCTTCAATAACTCCAGAAATGCCCCAACGGCTCCAAAGTAACCCTATAAGGACACACCAAGAACAGTTTTGTTTTGATTTTCGTGGGTTTTCCTAGGAATGGCACCATTGGACTTTATTTGCTCAAAAGAAAATATGCTGGACATACACATTATAGCAGTACACAATGGAGTTCCATTATAGCGCAATAGTTGGGCTCCAAAAAACCTCCAACAAATGCTATTATGAAGTGCGATCAGTGGTAACATTATTGTACATGATCGGAGAAAGCCAGGTGGCCCCATTGGCACATACTGTGTTTCTGCCCTTCAAATATGTCACCATGCTGAAAGTTATCAGTGGTAGATTGCATTTTAAAGCTTGACAGCACAATTTAAAATTTGCCGAGAGCTTTAGATGGCTCGATGTCAGGATTTTCAATTTTAAGCAAGAAAAATGTCAGAGTCTACAACCGGTAGACTAAAATTATATGATATGATAAATTATATGATATGATAAATTATCCAGTGTTATATTGAATCACATTTATAACAGAATTAAACTAATTCTAATTAGAGCGTATAACAAATGTCTTTCTTTTTTAAAAAAAAAGTTTTTTGTGGATAACTATCATACAATTAAAGACCTACCTTTGTAGGTTGGGTTATTCACAAGGTCTTTATTAGTTTTGGGTAAGAATACAATACCTGCAAACCTACATCCTGCCACATGGCGGTGTGATTTATATAATAATGAAATGCCCAAATCAGTGCGCGCATTAAATGGAAACGCAATAAAAGTGTGAACAAATCTACATGCACATTTGCCCTTTGCATAAAATGCACAAAGAATATACGAATCCTAAATTTCTAATTGCTGCAACATACCCCTAAGTGCCTTTACCTCAGCACGTACTTGTAGAACCTCAGATGGTCGGAACACAAATCAGATTTTATTCCAAATTAGGTGAAATAATTCTCGTGTTCTAAAAGCAATTCTGCTTGATTAAATTTTGGGGGGTTTCTAAAATTTCAGTATTGACAAAATGGACATCTCTCAGCAACAATCTAAGAATGTTATGTTCTCCACTTCTTCCATGAATTGTAATAGTCATTACTAGATTACCAAAGTTTCTCGCACACGCACACACACGGCGCCCTTAGTGCTGAGAATCCTGGATCAATTCGGGTTCCCCAATATAGTACCCCATTGTATATAATAGAGACAATTTACAATATCAAGCATTTCTATTGCCATACCATTTACTGAATCTCTGAGCTAAATACAGCTTTCAGAATGGCCTCCCATAACTGTCGCTCTATAGCATTTTGATTACATCTAAAGCTCTTGGACAGTACAGTACTGCATATAATTGTGTATTTACCCAATAATCTTTTGTTTCTCTTACAAAGCTGTACAGGCTAGTTGAATGTGATAAGGAATCGAAAAAAAAATCTGCAACAAGTTAATTTGTTCTTCAGACCATGTAAAATCCACCGACTATCTAACCCATTGAATCTCCTGAAGAAACATTCAGTTTTCTAATTGCTACATAAAACCTTGCACTCCACATTTCTGGCACGGTATTCCCACTGCCTAAGCAGTTGAGAAATCATGATACTACATACAGCATCTGATCATCTCTATTTACTTATTTTTATAAAGCTCAGCTCTGTTCCAATCAGATATTCACCAACAACCCCTATAAAAATGTTAATCAACACAATATCAATTGTTTTGTCTGGAAATCTATTTGACGTTCACTATTCTGGAGGGGGTAGGGAGAGGGGGGGAAGAAAGAAGAAAGATCTAAACAGAGAAAGTTTGTTACCAGAATGACAATGGTATCAATGTAATGCAAACAGAGCCCTGCTGGGAGATCTTTAAATTTTGAATGAGAAATTCAATCATTCAGCAACACTGAGTTTCCTGTTTCTAAGCTGCTTGGCTAAATTCTAAAAAAAATTGTAGCAGAGTAAATGCATTAGCTTTCTTAGTGATGTGTAAAGTGCCGCTGCTAGATTTACTGAAAGTAAAACCATAGACTAAAGAGTTTTGATTTTTGTGTAAGTTTCAGTTCTGATAAAAACACAAGTTTGATGCTGATACTCACTTCGTGTTCCAAAAACAAAGCTTTCAGTTGCCCATTGGACCAATAATCCATAGCATAAGATAACAGTTTCATGGAGACCATATTGATTCTCAAAAAGTTCCCAACAAACACCACCCTGGTAATATTCTGTAGTAAAACCAAAATTGAGAAAATTAGGGGGGAGGAGAAAAATAATCATCAGCAGCAAATCTCTTAAAGTCCATGTGAATTACAAAACAGTCAAGACCTAGGTTTAACAACTCACTACACAAATGGACAATTGGGAGAAGAAAGGATTGGACATGGCTATGATGCCCCCCTCTCAGTTTAATATCTTACCAACATGCACACATGAAGAGTGGCCATTGAATGAGATGTTGCGGATGGTGTGGTTGGGGGGTTGGGGAGAGAAGGGCAGGAGGAAGGGGGCTCTTCACTGCGCAACCTTACCCCAACGTGAGGCAGCCCTTTCAGGAGAGAAGTCAAAGTCAAGGGAACAATCCAGTTATTTCTGTACAATTCTCTCTGCACGCTATACATTTCTTTTTGCAAAGTTTCTTTAAAAATATTACAGATGGAGCCACGTAATTCCTTATGACCCAAGTAGTCTCCTGCCCCCACACCAATATTTTATATTGTATTTAATTTGTACACCTGCTTAATATTTTGTAGAAGCCATCACTCTCTACTAGGGATGGCTCTTTTTAATTCTCTGGAATATTTGAAAGCCATTTTTCTATAAGCTTTCAAGTATTAAATTATCAAAATATAACAGAGCACTTATAATAAAATTGTGTCACACAAGCTCAAGGAAAAGGTGCAGGACTGAGTCCGAGTTGCTAGTCGCTGCGCTTTGATAGCCCTGTACAATGCTGCTTGATCTCCAAGCTACAAGGCAACACTGTAAAGAAGCCCAAATCACAGAGAACGTCTTAAGATTGATCTTTGCTACACAGAATGTCTACAAAATTCAAGTCAAATCATGTCAATACATCAAAGCAACATTTTTAAACTAAGTTATTATGATGGTGAACGCACGATTCTTGTAAATACTTGTTGTAACACTATTGTAGTTTTAAAGCTCACCGATACAAAACGTTGATGTCGAGCCTACACAAAAACATCTGTACACACATTCCTGCTACCTAATGACTGAACCCACCCGTTAATGCAAATAATCTAGCCATTAAATAACACTCACCTCATTTAGTGCACACATTCGAGCTATGGATCCAATGTTATTTGTGATTGTAACCAGAGTTGCCTTCGCCAGATCTTCCTTACTAATGGAATCACGCTTCTCTTTGCTCATCATATGACCAAAGCTGCAGAAAATTAAAGCACACAAAATGTATATGATTAGAAAGACCAGGTCCCAAAGAAGTTGCAACAAAAGACTTGAACTAATAAACCATTTGTATATGGCAAAGTCCAAGATAATTTCAAATAATACATGATCTTCAGCTGTTGTCATTTTCAACCCACTTGATTGGTTGGAAAAGAATGAAGCTTCTTGAGAAAGTTTTTGAAATATGTGCTCCCAAACTGCCCAGAATAGGGAATGCATTGTAAAAAAAACCTCCACACAAAAACCATTTGAATACCACATCTCAGTGTATTTTTTGCTCCAAGTTAATAATAGGTCCATATATTTAATTTATTTTAAAAAGCATAGTATTTCTCCTGCAGTTACATCATGATTATACTGTAATTCAGAGGTTAGATTGGTTCCAAAATCTAGTGTTTAAATCAATGTACATGTTTAAATCAGTACTAGTTATGATTTATGCTAGTGTGTCTTTACGGCAGATTAACAAATGAGTGTCCCTATATTTTTCCTTTCTCCAAATAATGCATGTTACTGCCTTTTCCATTTAAAAAAAATACAATTGCATGTGGATGCAAGCATTGCTAAAAGTATCTAAAGCCACTGGCAGGATTACCAGAAAGCCTACCTGCTTGGAAACACAATCCCAGGATAACTATTATGAGGAATGACCCACGTGCTTCACATTTTAGTCAGTGTGGGACAACACACACAAGAAAGCAAAGAAACTCAATGTCTTAGGTGCATACAATTGCACTACAATCAGTTATGTGAGAACTTGAATTTATGGTATTCTGGGTAATATCAAACAGATATCAAACCTTCACTTAAATATAAAGGATTTTATAACCTTTGCATTTGTGTGTATTAAACAAAGAGTGAACACTGTAACAACATTTTAGGGGGAGTGGAATGGGGTGATACTATGCATTATAGATCATTTTATTACAGTTTTACGATGGGCATCTCAAGCGAGTGGGAAAATCCATTACAAGCATATTTAGGCGGCTATCGACATGCACTAAATGTGCTGATACCTATATCATTATCCCCCTTGGGCAGATATTTATTACATACATTTTCATACAAATAGGTAGGGAGAATGTATAGATACAGGGCTGTACATTAGTCTAATACACTAATATGCTTCATCTAGTTCAGAATAGATTTTTGCTCACAAAGCTGAACCTACCAATGGATCGATGCTATTGACCTCACCGTCACCTTTAAATCCCTTCATGCCATAGCACATCCCCATCTCTCTGATCTTCCGCTACAGTTCATTTCTCTGCTCACCCTCTCCTCCCGGCTAGCTGAGGCCTGCTACGCATCCCCTGTCCCTCTGTGCCACCATTATTGGTCAAGCCTTCAGTTTACAATGTTCCTAAACTCCACAACTCCCTCCCTCTACCACACTCGGCCTTTATGTCTCATCTTAAATTCTACCTCTTCAACCACGCTCAACTTTCTGTTCTCCCTTGCTAAGGGTCTGACCTTGTCCTTGTGAAGTGCTCCAATATGTTATCCAATGTGAAGGGCATGATATAAATACAATTCGTTGTTGTTGATGAACTTACCTGGATGCTACTGCACATCCCAGAAGACCAAATCTTTCATAGTCTCCACCATAGATATCTTTAACTAGTTTATCTACATTAGTGCTATCTCCTTTTGCTGCCATCTCAAGAGCTTCTTCAAAGGTTTCACATCCAGTAAGCAAACAACACAAGCCCAGGAAGGTTCCCCCACCAAGACTGAGGAGGAAAACATTCATTGTAAATACACACATGAATACAAATCTTTAAGGATTGCCTTCTGAACACATCAATTGTTTATTACATTGGCTTTAGTTGTTGTTCAAATTACTGTGAACTATCTCTTAAAATGTAGAATTTGTGTTTCAAGTTAAATATGGCTGATCTATTTTCTATAACTATTTATAGGTAGCTGAAAGCTCGGACACCGATAGTGGATCAAAGCAAGCAGGGAAAGAAAAACAGACCACAAAGAAAAGTGGAGGGTTCAGGCTGGAAAAGATGGTTTAGGGTAGGGACTAGAATGTGAAGACAAGAATAAGATCTAAAATTGAACACCTGAAGACCCAATGGAGCTTGGAAAGAATGAGGGAAGTTAGGTATTTGGCTAATACATTTATTGAGGTAGTAGTGAGATTGAAAAAAAAATGACATTTACCAGATGGAGTACAATGGTCATTTCCCTTCCTGGCTATTCAAAGGTTCTAATTAATTAACATAAAGTTAAAAGTATACAGCGCCAATGAAGATTATGCACTCACCTGGTTCCAGTAACCCTCTTGTAATTGTCCTTCGAATAAACAGCCAAGATACTGACCCCTGAGCCTATGTTAACAAGCAACATTGGAAAAGGATTATCCAAGCAGTATGGCTTTTTCTGGCACTGATCAGAATCAGTGGGATTTTCAAAATAGTAGCATTCAGATTGTCCATTGAAGCCAACTGAATCAATGTAAAGCAGACCTTGAATCAGACAGTCCAACTCATCCAGTTTATGGAGCTGCAAGTCAGCCATCTGGAAGAAAAAAACAGGAGTAAGCAAACAAATAGCAAAATTAATGAGTGTCAGGATGAATAACAGTTGTGCCAGGCTCAATATTGCAATGTGTACTTTGCAAACGATGTTTTCCATCATTGCAACTTGTACATACTTTGTTTCATAAGAGGACCGCATGATGTAGGGCACACGGCTTGCCAAATTAGTAAACAGACAAGATTCCTGTGGATTTTGAAACCTTTCATAACCAAGTTATCTGTCTTCCTTAGGAGTGAAATAGATGAGTACAGTAAAACCCGCATACAGTCTTATATCTTTATAAATCGGCTAATCGCCCAAGTCATATTCAAGACCCAAGTCCCATTCAGTTTCCTATCAAGACGACTTAGCTTTCTTTGTACTAGTCGTATTTATCACCTCCTTACTCATAACACTGTTCCCCTATCCACCAATACTCTCCCACTTACCCAGCTGCATTGAATCACGGGAAATTACGTCCTAACCCTTTGACGCAGGCACACTTACCAGCTGGCTGCATTGAATTGCGGGAGACATAACACTGATCCGTCGATTCATGTACAGAAGAACATTTCCCGTGATCCAATGCGAATTACCACAGCGAACCCCCATCTGGTCCTTATCTAATTTTCACACGCATGCACCTCCAGCACATTGACGGGGCTGGGGAGATGGTAGTGGAAGAGGATTTCTTATTCTATCCGCACAGTTTTATCACGCATTGCTTTCAGAGCACAGCCAACCTGATTGCCATGTCCTCTCAAACAAATTAAATCAAACAGCTCTCGACATACCATTCTAAAATCATCCTCAAATTTGTAAGCACCGCCTCCTGTTGCACACAGAGTAGTGTGCAAACTCGAGAAGTTTTTGTCTCTACCCATTTGGATGAACTTAGGCATGGAATGTGTTGGGAAACGGATAAAATGCAAGTTTCCTTTGCGTCCACACATTGTCAAGTTTTTCAGCTCCAGATGCACGTCTCGGATTCCTGTTTTCCCATAAGCTATATTGGAGGTCAGGTACTTTCTAATACTCTTCAGATTCTCTACCTCTTCTTGTTCTTCTTCAGCTGTGATGTCTTTTGGCTCAAAATAAACAAGTTTGACCAGTGTCCCACCAATATCCATTCCAAACCAAGGGAAGGCTAGAAGGAAAGAGAGATAAAACTATGTTACATGTGGCAATTTAGGTTCTAAATTATTGTTAATTCAGGCAGTTATTGCAAAATAATACTAAAATACTTTGATATTAAATATATACAAGGGACATCGCAAACATAATGCTTCCTTTCTATTTTCTCAAAAATTGTTAACTTTCAAAATTCCATCCCCCAATCACTCCGCCTCGCCCCCTCCTTAGCCTTCTTCAAGTCCTGCCTCAAAATCCTCCTCTTCGACCATGCCATCGGACACTCGGACACCCCACTTCCCCCTCCCTTCTCCCTTCCTGACTCCAGCTCGGGTCTGAAATGCTGTACACTGTTCAGCTCCTTGGGACGTCCTCCCGACGTGAAAGGCCCTATACAAATATAATCTTGGTGTTGATAGATAGACATGTAGTATCGATCTAACCTATCTATAAGTAGTGTTTCTTAAACTCCATTCCTTTGTAACTGCCTTGAAGATAAAACAATTGCATTTGAAACATTTGAATACTGTACACATCTTTATGATACGTTATGATTGGATTCCTTTAGTCACACAAGTCACTTTAGTCAGCAAGTCATAACAAATTAGACATGGAAGGCTGCTTAAAAAATACTTTAAATGAATCTGCATTTACATTCTATTACTGCTCCTACAGCCCGGAGTGACACAAAAGGATTCCTAGAGGGCAGTTTACATTTCACAACTTTAATTCTTGATAAATCAGAATGATAGCAATAAGGCAAATATAAAACTCTTCTCACCGCCACCCCCAAATCTCACAGCTTGAGGCTATCAGTGTTCCAGCTGCACGATATGGCCTGTTAATTGTCTGATTGGCTCATTCTCAGTAGCACCAGTTGAAAGCCTGCCCTCACAGCAAATGTTGATACAATTCCAGAAATACTAGATATTCAGGAACTCCCAGTTGAAAAATGTGCCTGATATATCCGAGAACATTTAAGTCAACCACAGAAAATTCAGGTGAAATACACACGCACACACCCTTTCAAAGGGAAGTATTTTAAGTACGTCTTTTACAGTAAATATGCTGATTGAATACAGTATCCCCTTTTACACTCACAGAGCAAATGGTCGAAAGGCAAACACTAATACAGTGTACAGACTATGCACAGTATTTCACAAGGAAAAGTGGTCATCTGTGAAGTAAAGCACAGCAGGGACATAATATTACTTTCCCGGCAGGGTGAAACCTTGGGCAAGTTTCCTTACTCCACACACCTGATAATAATCCCTCAAGAAAAAAATAATAAATTGGTCACTTCAATCCACGACTGTTTGTGGGACACTGCGGTGCGCAATAGGCTGCCGCATTTCGCCCACAAATATACAGTCAATTCACTTTACAGTATATTCTGTGAAGCGCTTTGAGACATCTAAAAGACGTGAAAAGCGCTATATCAAATGCAAGGATTATTAGTATTATTATTAACAAAATAATCACTACTGCAAAGACCTACCTATAAATTCAAAACATTGTTATTTTTGTATCACAGATGCCCTATATAAAATTACTATCAAGTATACTTAATCTATATCGGTGGTAGCCAAGCATATACCACTAATCAAGTTAACTTTATTAATCCAAACCATTTTTTTAAAAATAGGCTTCTTACCCGCCATCTATCCAAAATCTGATTCTGACAGTTTAACTTTGGTTTGAGTTGTCATTTTATTTTTAAAAAATCTGTAATAAATAAAATTGAGGATTGTTCTTCCATTGCCCCGCTCACTCATTAAAAAAAACAGTGGAAGTCAGAAGAGGGCCAGGGGAAACTGATGATCCATTGCCACGAAGATCACAATCAGAACAATAGATACCTCTTCAATAAGAGGTAAACTGAGGTCCTACCTGCTTTGCCAGCAGTCATTCACATTGCAAGTTAAAGATGCCATAACACCACATTGAAAGCAGGATTCTCAATGTGGAGTCCTGTAGCTCAGTGGTTAGAGCACTCGCTTTGCAAGCGAGAGACCTGAGTTCAATTCCCGGCAGAGGGCGAAACCTTGGGCAAGTTTCCTTACTCCACACAGAGCCTAATAATAATCCCTCCAAAAACCAAAAACAATAATAAATTGGTCATTTTCAATCTATGACTATTTGTGGGACATTGCTGTGCGCAATTGGCTGCCGCGTTTGCCCACAAATATACAGTCAATTCACTTTACAGTGTGTTCTGTGAAGAAGCGCTTTGGGACATCCTCCCGACGTGAAAAGCGCTTTATCAAATGCAAGGATTATTATTATTATTATAATGTTCCAGTTACTTTTCCTCCCTCATCCAGACACATTAAACGTGATCATATTTTTGCTGCTAGCACAGCCATAACATTTACTTGCAAAATTACACTTCATAATAGTTCACTGCATGAATCATTCAGAGATGTTTAATATGATAAATCACTACAGTATAATCAATTACAAATCATATTTTCTTATTAGCACAAGAATTTTGAGTATTTTAAGCCAGGACTCCAAATGAGTATACCTCAACTGAATATATTGGACCAATTGAGTCAGGAACTGTTACAGCAGTAGCAAATGTAGTGCTTCTCTGGTCACATAACATAGTTGATGAGAAACAATTGATTATTACACAGAAGTTCCTGAATGGTTCTAAGTAGTTCATGAAACTTTTCACAAATTAACTTTTGAAACACTTTTTTAAAAAAAGGAGCAAATATTTCTCATATTAACCACGGAAGAAATATTGTACGTAAAGTCTAGTTTGATGTCTTGTAAAGATATTTCCTGCTCAGGTAGTATGAAATGAATTCAGTAAAGCTACCAACATCCCAAGGGACTAATAACAGTACTAATGTATAGTTAATCTAATTTACCACGGGAAGGTTTAATTACCCAATGACTTCTTAGCAGACTGTTAACTATGGAATTATGCAATTTAGGTTAATTACATATCAATTACCAATGTTTTTTCAGTCACTGCATCAATTTATACATATATTTAACTGAAGTGGCTTCAACAACTCTGGACCAGGAGAAGAACAATCAGTCAAGGTTTCCCAATCCGGATTGCTATGGAGGCCCACACTGGATGTCAGGTGAGGACAGCATCAGGCTTCGCTGAGACACCCTCCTCAAATAACATGTCGCTATTCATTGTCTAACACAAATGGAGAAAGACAAGGCATCAGTGAAGGCTGTTGGACCTTGAAGACTTATTTGGAAGCCTAGCACCTTTTTATTTGGGGGGGGGGGTTGGGGTGAGATTCAGCAGTATAATTAAAATACTTGAGCCAAACATACCAAATAGAGTTTTGCCTAAAAAATACATAAGTCAACCCACTGTACAATACACCCTGTGACATGCTTTGAGATGTCCTCCAGACACAAAAGCTGCTATACCAAAAGGATTATTATTATTACTATTGTTATTAATGATGTTGGCGTGCATCTATTCGTTTGTATAACCTGAGTTGGATTGAGGAAAACAGATAGCTTCTTCAAAAGTATCCTGCCCGCCCTTGGTAGTGCCACTGACATTGGTCAACTTTGGCAAATGATTCGTTTCTGTATCTTGTGATTTAGAATTCTAGAGTTGACTGAAGATGACCCATCACTGAAGCAAACAGGACAGCTGGTAATTCGGTGAGAGGTCAATATGAGCATCTTGGAACACACTGAATCTAAACAGCTGTTTGAACGTCAAACTATGGGTACAAATTGCAGAATGCATCAGTAACTCAATAACTGAACTGAAAACAAACATCCTAAAAACATACATCTGATCAATCATTAAAAGAAAGGTTAACATTACACGTGTAACCCTTCACGTGAAAGATTCTTGTCTAATAAAGGTATATGCCTGATGTGATATCTCCTTCAGATATTGATATTTAATACTGTATACAAGTTCTAGGTTGGGCACAGAATATCTAAGATTTACATTTGTGCGCTCAAACTCATCAAAATTGAAGATCAAACAATTATTCTAACAATTATTTTCATCATATTAGTTATCAAAAAATTCCAAATGAATTAACTGTACATTAATCAAATCACTTTGCATATCAAGATTTGGTGGAGTTGAATTTAATAGTTTTTGTGCAAGTCTATTTTGTCCTATGCCAAGTCACTTGGTTTAATTGTACATCACCGATTAGGTGGAATTTATTATTATTAATTTTTTCATTATTATATAGTGCGTATAACAAGTCTCAGTACAAGATAAATTCAAAACAGTATTGTTTGATTAGCATTCTTCCATTTTTAGTTTTTTTTAAATAAAAAAAGCATTAATTGATGATGTCAATGGGGGAATGAAATTAGCCTTCTAGATTTATTGTGCCAAGCAGTGTAATGGAGCTGAATCAACATACACAATTGAAATGACAATTAACTAAGCACTTTGCGATAATGAGCACCTCTTTATACAGAGATTAATTCAGCTCCCTCACACTGTCCCTCAGTAACTCCTCCCACCCAATTTTGCAAAGAGGTCATCAGTACTCACTGCTTAATTTAAACAAAACAAAAAGTCAAAAGTAGTGATTTAATTTTTAAAAGCAAACTGATGATGAAGCTCACTTCCATATACTTTAATAGAAAAACTATTAATATTTTGTCAAAGTTTGTGCACCTATTTGTGAATGGAGTTAAGTTAGTTAAATAGAAATACTAGAGTTGTTTACAGCAAAAATAATTCCATTTACGAAAAGGGTTCCTAGCAGTAAAAGACAGTATTCAGTATGACACAAAAGAACCCGAGCACAATGAGCAGCGCAACATAATAAGGTCGTATTACACAGATTCTATACAAGTATTCACACAATCAGTTGTTTTTGAAATGTAGTGACTATTGTAATAAAGGTCCACAAATATTAAAAGATGGCCATTTGCCAAATAAAGCTCCCCAAATACAATCAAGACTGGAAAAACAACCCTCATCATTTACCAAGTTTTTATTTATTATAAATCATAATCCTTGCATTTGATATAGCGCCTTTTCACGTTGTTGAGACATCAAAGCGCTTCACAGAATATACTGTAGTGAACTGACGGTTGATTTTGTGGACGAAATGCGGCCGCCAATTGCGCACAGCAATGTCTCACAAACAACTGTGGATTGTGTGACTTTTTTTAAAAAAGGGGATTTATTTTATTAGCCCCCTGAAAAGCAGTAAACCAATCGACTAACAACCGGGCTCCCACCCACTGCTATGCAAACAGAGGCGCATGGAGCAATGTCATGTGTGACAATGCCATTATTGTAATAATCTGATAAGGATGAAATTCCATATGCAAATAAAAGTGTTTTTACATAAAACATAAGGAATACTTTTTCATTATTTTAACTAAAAACTGGAAAATCGAAATAGTTAAAATACTGAGAGAAGATAGATTTACCAGTGGGTCAAATAGTGTAACTATTCCAATTTTCCTATGGCATTCAGAGTAACAAAGAATATTTCAGCCATTAAAAGGTTAAAGCTGACACCAGCCACCCTCTTGAATGCAAATAATAATCCTTAAATAATCCTTGCATTTGATATAGCGCTTTTCACGTCGGGAGGACGTCCCAAAGCGCTTCACAGAACATACTGCAAAGTGAATTGACTGTATATTTGTGGGCGAACGCGGCAGCCAATTGCGCACAGCAATGTCCCACAAACAGTCGTAGATTGAAAATGACCAATTAATTATTGTTTTTGGTTTTTGAAGGGATTATTATTAGGTGTGTGGAGTAAGGAAACTTGCCCAAGGTTTCGCCCTGCCTGGGATTGAACTCAGGTCTCTCGCTTGCAAAGCGAGTGCTCTAACCACTGAGCTACAGGACTCCACCAAATACCACCTTTAACCTAACCTTTTCCAATAGGGGATGCAAATTCACATATCAACTGAATGTCAGGTGGCATCCGCTGCAAATAAAATCAAACATCATTTTGTTGAGGTACTTCTATTTGATCAAATTTAAAAAAAAGTAGATTTTGGGGGATCGGTATAAAATGAGCTAATACAAATTGCACGTACAAAATTAAAACAAACATTTAGAGGCAGCAACAAAAAAATCAACGGGAACTCTAATATCTAAACAGTTTTAGTCGAGCCATTTGTTAAATTTCTACTATGAAATAACTTGGGAGTTGGCAAATTCTGGAGTCCATAAAGAGAGTTCTGCATTTATTTTGCTATTTTCTTTAAATTCAATGGCTACTAATTATGATATGACTTCCAAATACTCAGTTAACTTGAGAATGAATTGCATTCGACCTCAAACCTGACACGACTATCACCGCAACTTAACAGCACCGGACGATGGAGTCGATGGGATTACAGTTAATGCGCATTCAATCACTTACATGAGTTTTTAGCGTCTCTGAACTTCATCGCTGCTTTCTGCTTCACTACCAATGCGCTCCGGTAGACACACAGCAACCGAACCAAAGACACACAGGAGAAGCCTTGTGTCGCTGCGGTGATAAAAACCGGTTGGCCGCCCGACCCCCCCAAAAAAAAAAAAAAAATCTGTTTGCATGTACAAAAGTGCTGCAAAAAGTGGCTTCTTTTGCTCTCAGTGGAGTGGGACGGCTGCGCTTTTACGTGAACTGGATTCATTGGCCAACACCGAGCGGCTCACTTGGTCACCAGGGATTACTGACAACAGACCGCACGCCTCCTGACACACAGACACCCAATCACTCACTGCCCCCCCCTCCCCACACACACACACCCCCCACCCATCCACCCCGGGAAACAGGCGCCAGAGACTGGCAATAAACACCGGCACCGACGACAACCAGCATTCGGTGTCAAAACTGGACGAAGAGTAAAGAAGACCGGCGCCCGGGCGAGGACTGGCATTGTGCATCAATTCAAAAAAACATCACCAGCACCAGGAGCAGCACCAGGAGGAGCACCACCAGCACCAGGAGCAGCACCAGGAGGAGCAGCACCAGCACCAGGAGCAACACCACCAGCACCAGGAGCAGCACCAGGAGGAGCAGCACCAGCACCAGGAGCAACACCACCAGCACCAGGAGCAGCACCAGGAGGAGCACCGGGAGGAGCAGCACCAGCACCAGGAGCAACACCACCAGCACCAGGAGCAGCACCAGGAGGAGCACCACCAGGAGCAGCACCAGGAGCAACACCAGGAGCACCAGGAGCAGCACCAGGAGGAGGAGCACCAGGAGCAGCAGCACCAGCACCAGGAGGAGCAGCACCAGGAGCAGCAGCACCAGGAGCACCAGGAGCAGCACCAGGAGCAGCACCACCAGCACCAGGAGGAGCAGCACCAGGAGGAGGAGCACCAGGAGCAGCACCAGGAGGAGCAGCACCAGGAGGAGCAGCACCAGGAGCAGCAGCACCAGGACCACACACTGATCTTTCAACACAATATCGCGGTGGTCTCCTTCCCCTCCGCCACTAAACACGGCAGCTCCAGAACCCATTCATTTCGGTGTCGGTACGGCGAGCTCCACCCACCAGGGCCCCCCCGGGTGTGGGGTATAGTGGGGGGGGGGGTCTGCAGCTCAGGCTCCGGCTCCCACCACTGCCTGCCCCGGGCGGGCGGGCGCGGTGGGGGGGGGTGGGGGTGGGTGTCGGTGTCTCTCCGCGGCTTCGCGTGGCTTCACTTACGCGGTCTGTTCCTCCTGCCCGAGTCCATCCTCCTCCTGACGCGGCATTTCTTGGCGGGCGAGGCGTGCTCGCGCTCCTGGTCGGCGGGGCCTGGCCGGGGGCGGCCGGGGGCGTCGGGGGCCGACGGGTGGAAGCCGTTGTGGAGGCCGCCGCCGCCGTCCGCTCCGCCTCGCCGCTCCTCCATGGCTGGCGCTGCGGCTCGCGCTGAGGTCACTCACGGTCACCGCCGGCGACGCGCACACACGTCATCCTCCACCACCGCGCATGCGCGCCACCCGCAGACACACCCCCCCCCCCACCACACACACACCCTCTGTGGTGGAGGAGGAGGAGGAGATGGAGCAATTTGCAATGGCAAAGGCACCATCAGGACACGAGGCATCACCTCCACTCTGCCCGATTTGGTTTTGAATTCAACAAACGCTTGTGCCAATCACTGAACTGCACAGGTCTTTTTATTCCTTGTAAACCGTAAGCGACCGGGTGTTCCGACCTGATAATGCAATCCGAAGAACATTAAAATAATTTGCCCGGTGCCTCCAACAGCAGGAGGAGGAGGAGGAGGAGTGGTAATAATAATCATCCTTCGCATTTGATGTAGCGCTTTTCACGTCTTCCCGTCGTCTCGAAGCGCTTCACAAGCTTTGTTGGCCACGTATTTATGGGCGGAACGCGGCAGCCAATTGCACACAGCAGTGTCCCACAAACAGTCGTGGATTGAAAGTGACCAATTTATTATTGTTTTTGGTTTTGGAGGGATTATTATTAGGCTCTGTGTGGAGTAAGGAAACTTGCCCAAGGTTTCGCCCTCTGCCTGGAATTGAACCCAGGTCTCTCGCTTGCAAGGCGAGTGCTCTAACCACTGAGCTACAGGAGTAGCCTATTTTTAGTTGCTTTACATACTTATATAATAATCTACATTACCAGTAAGATAGTAAAGAAAAGTAAAGTGTAGTAAAGTTGGAAATCATGACACTAAACAATTACTTTATTACTTTATTAAATGCTTTAAATCCTGTTATTTTGTGTATAGGATGTCTCTGATATACTCTATTAGAAACAAGGAAGGCTGTTTATATCCAATACAATAACAATGTATCAATATAACAACTTATTTTAGAAGATAATTAAATTGTGGATTATTATGTTTACCTTTATGATGAGCTTTCATAAAAGCTTTTCAGTTATTAATTTCAGTGGTGTAATGTAATTCTACAGAGGGTCAATAGAAAATGGAAAATGTTATCTAAATTTTGAGATAAATTAATTTAATTATAGTTCTGAGCTCTGCTCTTGCTACTTATTAATTTTGGTGTTTTGTGTGACAGTTAATTATTCCATGGGGTGTAATTATTTGTGTGATGCAACAGTTTTCTACATGGTCTATTAATTAATAGGGTGTGAAGATTTTAATAAATATCACCACATTCCTATTTTACATTATATGGACCTGTGTGAATGCTACTCCTAGATTAACAGAAATGCTTGGTGTTATTATGTTGGCTCTAAAGTTCATGAACTATTCATAATTTCTCTCAGGACCTCCTGAATCAAGCTTGCCATGTTACAATGCATTAAATCCCTGAAGGAATGAACTAAGTTTCTGCCAAGGAAAACATTTCTACTTGTGTTGGTGTTTACAATCATAGTACCAGTGATAGAAAAGGCTCCCAATTTTAGAATCCGTCTGGCAGCATAAAGCCATGTTTGCATCAGGATATTTCTTTTTACAAACCAGAAATACTGGACAACATCCTCCTCTCCCCGCTTAAGGATTCTTAAAGTTTGTTTGAATTTATGTGCTAGTGTTACATTTCTACAATAATTATCTTTGCATTTGATATAGCGCCTTTTCATGTCTTCCAGATATCTCAAAGTGCTTCACAGAATATATTGTAAAGTAAATTGACTATATTTTGGGGGGGGGGCGAAACGTGGCAGGCAATTGCGCATAGCAGGTCCCACAAACAGTCGTGGATTGAAGTGAGCGATTTATTTTTTGGGGGGAAGGAATTATTACCCCCGGAAAAGCAATCTGCTAATCGACTAATAACCGGGTTCCTACTTACTGCTAGGTAAACAGACGTGTGGCGTAAGGAAACTTGTTTATTGTTTCGCCCTGCCGGGAATCGAAGTCATGTCTCTCACTTGCAAGGCGAGTGCTCTAACCACTAAGCTACAGGACTCCGCATATTGTCACTTTGCCTCTGAAATGGTCTTTTCTCAAGGGCTTCCTGAGTAAAACCTACTATACATGTTGCAATACATTGAATACTGAAGAAAGCTGTGGTTTCTGCCACAAAAACATTTGATTTATAGAGATGGCACTGTGAAACTGTCTTCCTTTTATGTTTACAATGATAACATAGTGATCGAAAGGCCACAGATAATAATAAGCAATATAGATCAACAAACTGAACAAAAGACAAATGCATAATGGGTTATCATTATACCAGTCACCATTTGAAACCGTTTCAGAGAATTTTCTTCTTGCAACGATTTCTGAAATGGGTGACAGCAGTGTGGAATATTCTAATTCATTGCACATGTTGTAAACCATTAACAAAAGGCTACAAACAGTGTTTATATTAAATAAAGGAAAATGTGATTAAACATGATACAGTACCCTTTCGAGTAATATTTTCTGAAATACTAATACTACTAGGCTCGATGAGATTAAAAAAATATATAAAATATGTCCAGAGACAGCTGTGGATCAAAGCTCCAGGATACTTTAAATCTCTGAACTCCCTTTTTTAATGCTACTTCATCTTCTGTTGTTACAGCTGTTTAAGGTAATGACTTTAAACCTCTAAATAGCTTTATAATAATCAATTACACAAAATAACATGAATAAAATAATATTTTAATGACACCAGTAACATTTTTAATAAAATTACAAGCAGAGCTACTCTGTTTATTTTGCGTGCCAATCATTGTCTTTATTGTCAAATTGTATTAAAAGATCGTTAATAACAATTCAAAGCTAAATAACATGGTGGGTTGCTTGCATTTCTGCCTGTCATTAATGAACAATAGAAGGCATATAGTCTCTCTAGAAAGACAGCTTTAAAGCTGAATTAATGGCAAATTAGCTGCTGATAGGAACGGAGATAAAACATTCCACTTCATGACAATCCGGCATTCAATCTTCTTTTTCTTGCATTTAATGCTTTTCCTGTTTTAGTGAAAAGGGCTACATTTTCAATGGGTGTTGCAGGAAGCTTATAATGACAAACAAGTCTGCTTAGCAGTTGAAAAATTATGGAAACAAGTCATTGTCACAATCTGTTCTGAGAATCAAGAATTGTCTAGAATGTAACACCTGCAGCGGCTGAAAATTGTCATTGGCTTAAAATCATACAGACAAGTCTGGTTTATCTTTGAATTATTTAACTAAGTGTCTGAGGATCTGAGCATTTGATCAGAAGACATATTATAAACATGCTAGATAAAACCAAACCATGCACTCTAAATCCCAGACATATGATATTTCACCGTTACTTTATTTATGCCATTAGATTTGGGGATTTTGTTATTGCTTTACATAAACAATCAAATAAACAAATTAGATAATTTGAGTCCAGTTAAAAATCTCTAATAAATTGATATTCTGAATGTATTCTGAGAAACTAATCTGACTCCAGGCATATTAGTATTTAAATTCTCCATGGTGACAAACTCTTAACTCTGGATTGTTGTATTTTATTTACTTTTGTTCAGCTGGGTGTTTGGTACACATGGAAACCCATCACCATGCTTAAGAATATCCAAACCAGACTGAGAGTTAAACATATATATGTCTCCTATACATTTCTCTGTATAAATGGAGTGAATGGGCAATGTTTCCCTGCTTACCTAATTCCAGAGAGTATAGAGAGTGTATTCAAT